AACAGATTTTCAATGAATTCGATAATCCATTTCTTTTAATGTTATCGATTAAAATATTTGTATTATCATTGGTTTGGAATAACCGAAACAAAAACGGTCTTTCCAAATATTTACTTTCATCAATTTGTCATTTCAACTTTTCTTGTATACATTATTATCATCAACTTATTAAATTTAATTATATAACTTCCATCTTTTTCTATTATTGCTAAATCCTCAATTGAATGTCTTATTCCTTGATGTAAAATTTCCTTCCATGCCATAAAGTATGTTGAAATGTTTAAATGAATATTACCGTTTCAACGTCTTATTGGAAAAAATACGCCGATGAAATTCGATATTTAAATGTTGTTATACTATTTTGTTGTGTAGAAAAATTGCCGAAAATATTTTTGCACAGAATTTATCAACGGAAATCCTGCAAATCTAATCAAATATGAAATTTATTTGGTAAAAGCTGCCATTGTAGAAAAAAATGTAAGAGGAAATAATGGATCAGAATCTCATTCTTGAAATTCAGCTATCAGCTCATCAAACTCATCAAACTCACCAGAAGTTCATCAGAAATTCATCTCATCAAGCTTATCAGAAGGAAACTCATCAGTCATCATTATTCGCTTGATTAATGTATTCAACCATCAATTTCAGGAATAATTCTATTTGTCATCGAACGAGACATCTTAGTTTGCAGTCACATTTTACATTAAATCGGGAAATAGTGAACAAAACAAAAACGGCAAATAAAAATTAGTACAAATATAGCTTAAGTCAATACAATGCAATAATTTAAAGTTTTGCGAATCCAATTAAATCCCTTATTAATATTTCTGTGTCAATGATATCATCTGCTATCGATATCATTAAGGAGCTTACTGTAGAATATGGCTTTTCATCCGAACTTTTATGAATTTTCATGTGTCTCTTCAAACATCCTCTCGCAGTGAGATTCCTACCATATATTTCACATTTGAATGGTCGTTCGTTTCCGTGCGTCAATTGGTGTCTCTTCAGAACGCTGGAGTATTTGAATGTTTCATTGCACACGTGACATTTGAATAACTGTATGTTTCCGTGCTTCAATTGGTGTCTTTTCAGACTGCAGGAGTCTTTGAATGCTGCACTGCGCAAGTGACATTTGAATGGTCGTTCGTTTCCATGCGTCAGTTGGTGTCTCTTCAGAACGCTGGAGTATTTGAATGTTTCATTGCACACGTGACATTTGAATAACTGTATGTTTCCGTGCTTCAATTGGTGTCTTTTCAGACTGCAGGAGTCTTTGAATGCTGCACTGCGCAAGTGACATTTGAATGGTCGTTCATTTTCGTGCGTCAATTGGTGTCTCTTCAGATTCCAGGTTCCTTTGAATATTTCATTGCACACGTAACATTTAAATGGTCGTTCGTTTCCGTGCGTCAATTTGTGTTTCTTCAGATTGCTGGACCGTTTCAATGTTTTATTGCATATCTCACATTTGTAATTTTTTTCATCGACATGTATCATCTTATGGTGCATCAGAGTAGTTGAACGTCCGAATAGCACGCCGTATACCTCACATTGAAGCCGTTTTTCATTTGCTTCACTGTTATTGGTCACAGTCTTTATTTTGCCCTCATTTACTATTCCTTCTTGTATTGACTGATCGTTTGAAACCTAAAATAACCCAAAATCATTGGTTTATAGTTGGCTTATTGTTTTCCTGTGATTTAGAACAGTAATAATCCGAGGTATTATGCAGATATCACTGTAGAATCTTTGAATAGCAATAAGTTACTTCTCTATATTAGAAATAGCTCGGTGAATTGCAATAACAATTTGAAAAAAAGTGTCATTGTACTATATTATGACTGTTGACTTGAGACAGAAAGATTAACAGTCCGATCGATGTAACAAAAATGATTCAAATTGTGATTCAATGCACAAACTTTAGCATTTCATTTTGATTTGCAATAAAATATGGTCATAAAACATCGATTGTTTAGAAGTGACAGAGAAATAGATAAGAAATGAAAAATTAAATAATTTTCCTTCGCAAGCAGCAGCTGTTTTCTGTCTTTAACTAAGATAAAAAATTTTGTGAATATTTAATTTCTATACTGAGAGGCAATATCTGATTAACATACTGTTATTTGCGCGGCATACAACGGCAGCACAAGCAATACCACATAATATGACAGATACATGATCGAGAAGTGATGGGATGTGGAAATCGCCGTACTGTATTCGAAAAGTATTTTTAGCAGACAACCAATCCAATGAAGTGATATTTGCCGCACTAGCAAAGAGAACCGCTTTTATGCATTCCGGTAAGCCGTATGATCTGCGATCATATCGCAAAAGACATCACAAAAGCCTTGTCTAATCTTTTCGCAGAATAATTTTGATTTTACTACATTCTAAAATTTTTTGTTTGCTGTATTGAATAATAATAGTTTCATGAAAATGCGATTATAACCGCTATATCACAGTTCAGAATTTGTCACCAAATCTTTTCAACTCGAAACAGTCGAAGAGTATAGACAATACTCTTAGACAATAATCCAATGTTTGATTAGTATCAAAAAACGATGAAGTATTGCTATTATAAAAATTTAAAGTTGAAGTTAGTTGAAATTATTAAAATACAAATTAATTGAACTTGAAATTTTTTCAAATATTTACTTTCATCAATTTATCATTTTAACTTTTCTTATCTACATTGTTATCATCAACTTAATAAATTTAATTATATAACTTCCATCTTTTTCCATTATTCCTAAATCCTCAATTGAATCCTCAATTGATTCCTCAATTGACCCCTAAATCCTCAATTGATTTTAATGAATTTTTGTTGCTAGCAAGCAAATTGTCACACTAAGAAATTTTACATTTATACATTCTGTTCAATAATATATAAAAAATGGTATTCGATCATTGAAAGAACGAAATGTTGCTAAAACATGCTAAAATGCAAAGTCAAAAAGTATGTAAAATATGGAATGTTTAGGTAAGATTTGAAATATAATACATAGAATATGTAATACAGCTAAATAGTAAATACATAAAGAAAATGCTAATTAAGGACAGGTAAAATTTCTTCTCATCAATTTCTCTCAGAAAATATCATTAGCACTAAATGAGTTATACTGTTATCAAATCAAAGTTGGATATTGTTGTGCATGGATAATTAACCGCTTGTGTTAATTTTGAAGTTTTCGAAGAAAAAAGTAAGGAGAAAGAATGGATTAGAATCTCTTTTGTGAATTCAGCTATCTGCTCATCAAACTCATCAGAAGGAAACTCATCAGTCATCATTATTCGCTTAATGAATATATTCAACCATCAATTTCTGAAAGAATTCTATTAGTCATCGTACGAGACACATCTTATTTGCTTGTTTGATCTATGTGAGGGGCAACCTAAGTAAGTAAGTTTGTGAAAAAATATCGTGATTTCGCTTGAATCCATCTTTTGGATAAATGATAGCCATGTTTGAATCCATCTATAGGAATGTAATTATTTCCTTTATTAATATTTCTGTGTCAGCGATCTGCTATCGATGTCATTAAGGAGCTCACTATAGAATACAGCTTTTCATACGAACTTTTTTTATGCGCTTTCATGTGTCTATTCAAACTACCTGTCTGAGTGAAATTCCTGCCACATATTTCATATTTGAATGGCCGCACGTTTCCATGCGTCAATGTGTGCTTCCCTAGATTCCCGGATCTTTTGAATGTTTTATTACACACGTTACATTTGAATAACCGTTCGTTTCCATGCGACAACTTGTGTCTCTTCAGATTGCGGACAATTTGAATGCTTTATTGCACGTGTGTGCTGATTATTTGAGGATAATAATTTTGGTATCATTGATGTTTTCAAATAAATAATAAAAATAGCTAAACTTTTCTCATAGCATATTATATTAATATATCAAATGTGTGAAAATGATTTCTGATTTAAAATTATTCAAAATTTTGAATAATAGAATTAATCGTTATTTAAAATAATCGATCTATGAATTACTGTTGCAGTATTGAATGCAAATATTGTTAGTGTCATCATATTTAATCATTCTTCTTTCAACAAATTATAAACAGAAGTCAAAATTTTGTTAAAAGAATTATCTTTCATTTGCTACAGCGATTCGGAACATATCATTTGAATTCATTGTTTTATAGATTCAAAAGAAATACATACTTCTTATAGAATGATAATGATATAGTGATAATGACGAATAATCGAAAATGCGATATAGATAGTGTGATATAGTAATAGAACAATGATCAATAATCAGTAATGTGATAGCAAATGAAAAGTAATTACAACGATAATGAATTTATGCATAATTGAAATTGATTGATAATTTGATTCAAAATTTTACATACAACTATATCAAACACATTTGACATTCAATCGGAAATAGTGAGCAAACCACAAACGGTAAAGAAATAATTAGTACGAATATAACTTAAATCAACACAATACAATAAATTAATGTTTTGCGAATCCAATTACTTCCTTTATAAATATTTCGGTGTCAATGATATCATCTGCTATCGATATCATTAAGGAGTTTTTCGTAGAATATAGCTTTTCATCCGAACTTTTATGTATTTTCATGTGTCTATTCAAACATCCTATCGCAGTGAGATTCCTACCACACATTTCACTTTTGAATGGTCGATCGTTTTCGTGCGTCAATTGGTGTCTCTTCAGAACGCTGGAGTATTTGAATGTTGTGGAGCACACGTGACATTTGAAAGGTCGTTCGTTTCCATGCGTCAGTTGGTGTCTTTTCAGACTGCAGGAGTCTTTGAATGCTGCACTGCACAAGTGACATTTGAATGGTCGTTCATTTTCGTGCGTCCATTGGTGTCTCTTCAGATTCCAGGGTCCTTTGAATGTTCCATTGCACACATGACATTTGAATGGTCGTTCGTTTCCGTGCGCCAATTTGTGTCTCTTCAGTTTGCTGGATTCTTTGAATGTTTTATTGCACACGTGACATTTGAATGGTCGTTCGTTTCTGTGCATCAATTGGTGTCTCTTCAGACTGTCGGACCGATCGAAAGTTTTATTGCACATCTCACATTTGTAATTTTTTTCATCGATATGTATCATCCTATGGTTTATTAGAGTATCTGAACGTCCGAATAACACACCGCATGCCTTACATTGGTACCGTGTTTCGTTTGCTTCACTGTTATTAGCCATAGACTTTATTTTCCCCTCATTCTCTATCCCTTCTTGTATTCGCTGATCGTTTGATACCTGAAATTAGCCAAAATCATTTATAGTTGGCTTATTGTTTTGTGATTTTGAACAGTAATAATCAGAGGCATTGTGCAGATATCATTGTGGAATCTTTGAATGGCAATAAGTTACTTCTACATTCTAAAAATAGCTCGGTGAATTGCAACAATAGTTTGAAAAAAAGTGTCATTGTGTCGTATTGTGACTGTTGATTTGAGACAGAAGGATTAACAGACCGATCGATGTAACAAAAATGATTCGGTGATTTAACGTACAAACTTTAACGTTTCATTTTGATTTTTGTCATAGAATATGGTCACAAAACATCGATTGCTTGGAAGTGACAGGGTAATAGAAACGAAATGAAAAATTATTTGGCTGGTTAAAAAATTTTGTGAATATTCAGTTTCTATACTGAAAGACAATATCTTAGTCACATACCGTTATTTGCGCGACGTACAGCGGCAACACAAACAGCACCAAATAATATGACAGATACATGATCGAGAAGTGTGGAAATCGTCAAAGTCTTTTCGAAAAATATTTTTAGCAGGCAACCAATCCAATGAAGTGATATTTGTCGCACTAACAGAGACAACCGTTTTATGCATTCCGGTAAGCCGCATGATCTATGACCAAATGTAATCACGAAGCCCCAATCTTTTCCACAATAATTTTCACTTACTACACTCCAAAATTTTCTATTTGCTTCACTGAATAAGCATTCTTCGTATAAATCTTCGCCACTAGCAAACAGATTTTCAAAGCATTCAATAATCCATTTCTTTAAATGTTTTCGATTAAAATATTTGTATTATCATTGGTTAGGAATAACCGAAATAAAAACGGTCTTTTTAAATATTTACTATCATCAATTTATCATTTTAACTTTTCTTATCTACATTGTTATCATCAACTTATTAAATTTAATTATATAACTTCCATCTTTTTCTATTATTGCTAAATCCTCAATTGAATGTCTTATTCGTTAATGTAAAATTTCCTTCCATGCCATAACATATGTTGAAATGTTTCAGTGAATATTACCATTTCAATATTTTATTAGGAAAAATACGCCGATGAAATTCGATATTTAAATGTTGTTATTCTTTTTTATTGTGTAGAAAAATTGCCGAAAATACTTTTGCATAGAATTTATCAATGGAAATTCGATAAATCTAATCAAATATGATATTTATTTGATAAAAGCTACCATTGTATGCATTATACAATCATATTTGGAAAGATTCATCTTTGACCTCTTTGCTTGTAGGAATTTCTGCGCAGATCAACATTGATTGTAAATGAAGTATGAAATATTTATCAAACTTTTCGGTCAATCTTTTACATTTTAGTTGCGCAGAAGCAAAGTTAATATATAAATATTGTTGTTTCTTTATGACAGTAATAAACATTAAACCTACGTATAGGAGTAGCTATACTTATTATTTCTTTTTTCGCTGTTGGAGATAATTTCAGCCACTGTTGAAATTTTCAAAATTAAAAATTTCACATACAACTTTATCAATCACATTTGACATTCAATCTGGAAATGGTGAGCAAAGGAAATGAAAATTAGTAAAAATATAACTTAAGAGTCAATACAATATATATTCCTGCGAATGTAATTATTTCCATTATTGATATTTGTGTATCAGTGATCTTCTATCGATGTCATTCGAGAGCTTATTGTAGAATATAGCTCTCCATCCGAACTTTCATGTATTTTCATGTGTCTATTCAAACTACTTTTCTGAGTGAAATTCCTATCACATACTTCACATCTGAATAACCGTACGCTTGCGTGCGTTAATTGATGTCTTTTCAGACTGCTGGGGTCGTTGAATGCTGCACTGCACAAGTGGCATTTGAATGGTCGTTCATTTCCGTGCGTCAATTTATGTCTCTTCAGTTTGCAGCACTCTTTGAATGTTTTATTGCACACGTGACATTCGAATAGTCGTTCGTCTTCGTGCGTCAATTGGTGTCTCTTCAGATTCCAGGTTCCTTTGAATATTTCATTGCACACGTAACATTTGAATGGTTGTACGTTTCTGTGCGACAATTTGTGTCTCCTCAGACTGCCGGACCATTTATATGTTTTGTTGCATATCTCACATTTGTAATTTTTTTCATCGATATGTGTCATCTTATGGTTTATCAGAGTACCTAAACGTCCGAGTAGCACACCGCACACCTCACATTGGTACCGTTTTTCATTTACTTCACTGTTATCAGCCACAATCATTATTTTGCCCTCACTTCCCTGTATTGACTGATCGTTTGATATCTGAAATAACCCCAAATCATTGGTTTATATTTGGCTTATTGTTTTTCTCTGATTTTTGAACAGTAATAGTCAAAGGTATTATGCAGATATCATTGTAGAATCTCTGAATGGCAATAAGTTATTTCTACATTTTAAAAGTAGCTCGGCGAATTGCAACAGTAATTTGAAAAAAGTATCAGTTGTGCTGTATTGCGATTGTTAATTTGAGACAGAAGAATTAGCCGCAGACCGATCGATGTAACAAAAATGATTCGGTGATTCAATGCACAAACTTAGCATTTCATTTTGATTTTTGCAATAAAATATGGCCACAAAACATCGATTGTTTAGAAGTGACAGGGAAATAGGTAAGAAATGAAAAATTAAATAATTTTCCTTCACAAGGAGCAGCTGCTTTCTTTTTTTAGCAAAGCTAAAAAGTTTTGTGAATATTTAATTTCTATACTGAGAGACAATATCTTATTCACATACCGTTATTTGCGCGACGTACAGCGGCAACACAAGCAAAACTAAATAATATGGCAGATGCATGATCGAGAAGTGGTGGGATGTGGAAATCGCTGTATCCTATTCGAAAAATATTTTTAGCAGACAACCAATCCAATGAAGTGATATTTGTCGCATTGACAGAGAGAGCCGCTTTTATGCATTCCGGTAAGCCATATGATCTATGACCATATGTAATCACAGAAGCCTAATCTAATCTTTTCGTATAATTAATTTGATTTCATTACATTCTAAATTTTTTTGTTTGCTGTATTGAATAATAATAGTTTCATTGAAATGCGGTTATAACCGCTGTATCACAGCTCTGAATTTGTCACCAAATCATTTCAAATCGAAATAGAATGAAATCATTCGAAGAGTATAGACAATTATCCAATGTTTGATTATCATCAAAAAACTATGAAGCATTGCTATTATAAAAGTTTAAAGTTTGAAGTTACTTAAAATTATTAAAATTCAAATTAATTGAACTTGAAATTTTTAACCATTGTTTTTATAAATCCTCGCCACCGGCAAACAGATTATCAAAGCATTCAATAATCCTTTTCTTTAAAACAAAAACTGAATACTTTTCTTCAAATTGGCCGTTTTATTTATTTTTTCTCGTTATTTATCATTTTAACTTTTCTTATATATATCATTATCATCAATTTATTAAATTTAGTTATATAACTTCCATCGTTTTCTATTATTGCTAAATCCTCAATTGAATGTCTTATTCGTTGATGTAAAATTTCCTTTCATGCCATAAGGTATGTTGAAATGTTTCAGTGAAATTTACAATTTCAACATTTGATTGGAAAAACTACGCTGATGAAATTCGATATTTAAATGTTGTTATACTATTTTGTTTTGCAGAAAAATTGCCGAAAATGCTTTTGCATAGAATTTGTCAACGGAAATTCTATGAATTGAATCAAATACGAAATTTATTTGATAAAAGCTACTACCATTGTATGCATTATACAATCATATTTGGAAAGATTCATCTTTGACCTCCTTGTTTGTAGGAATTTCTGTGCAGATCAACGTTGATTATAAATGAAGTATGAAATATTTATCAAACTTTTCAGTCAATCTTTTACATTTTAGTTGCATAAAAGCAAAGTTAATCAAAGAGACGAACTGACTGATCCGTTGAAAAATGTTGAAATTGCACATTTTTCCTATTGTTTTTGGTATTTGATCATTGAAAAATGAAATACTGCTAAAATATGCTAAAATGCAAAATCAAAAAATATAAAAAATGTGGAATGTTTAGATGAGATTTGAAATATAATACATAACATATGAAACTCAGTTAAATAATAAATACATAAAGGAGATGTAAAATAAGGGCAAGCAATTTCTCTCCGAAAGTATTATTAGCACTAAATGAGTTATATTATTGTCAAATCAAGGTTTGGATATTGTTGTGCATGGATAATTAGCTACTTGTATTAATTCGGAAGTTTTCGAAACCTATTGGAGTTTTCAATTTATTAAACTAAATTTTCAATGATTCATCCGAAGAAACGTAAAATGAAATGCAATTACGAAGGAAGAAATTATGCTAAAAATGAGAACTTAAAACGGAAATTATTACTTCATAAAGGAAATTAATAAATTTTTGAATGAATGAGTTCTCATTTTTTGAGTCGAGTTATTAAGCATTATGAATATGAATGAATTGAATGTAATTTTTTTAAAATAAACTTTTAGCTGATAACTGGAAAGTTCAATCACTACCCCAAACGAATTCTTTGCAATTACAAATAAAAGCCAATTAACATAATGCATTTTCAAAATAACAATTTTCAAAACAATTGTCCAATTAGCACATTTATCCATGAACATTTGTCCAATTAGAAATTTTGAAAATGGCTTTTAGCATGTATTTTATATCTAAAAGAAAATTAGAAAACAATCTTTGCAACAATTTTCGAATCAGAAAAACAAGCTCAAGAAAAACGATGAAATTTCAATTCTTGAATTTCGAAAATTAAAGCAGAGGAAATGAAAATCTTACCACCACTCATCAAATATGTTATCACCACTTGAGCTCAAAAATTTTCGTAATGTTTGCATAACCTTTAAGTTATGCTACGGGTGTTTCAAATATCGGTATGCATCGGCTATTTTAAATTGGAGGAGAGTAGTTTGCGTGTCCGAATTCGAATGCATTTTTAATGTAGAAGTAGTGATGCAAGGAATTGAATTTTGAAATTTAATCAACCAAATGTAATTCCTTTCGGCAAGGAATCGCAAAAGTTACATGAAACTTTAAAGATTGCTTTCATTGATTTCATTTTGCTTAGTTTATTGCTTTATATTTTTGCAATTATTATTTCAAATCGATCAATGTGCTATTTACGATTATTTTTAGATTATGAATTTTTTTCTTGTGATTTTTTCCTAATTTCAAAAGCATTTCTAGTGCAAGATTTTCTCATTAACGATTAATGAATGGATTCGAATCGCATATGGAAAAGGATTTAATTCGGAAGAAAAAACATAACTCTTCATTGGGTGATTTTATTCCACCTCAATTGTTGAAACATGATCGAAAAATGTGAGACATCAAATGATTTTTGTCACTTTGAAATTCTCTCCAGAATTTTTGAAATTCCCGAATTTCTTACTCATTTCGTTTACCACCATATATTCTGAAGTAACGGCACTCAAAAGTTCTAATTATTTTTGCACATTTCTATAGCTTATTTTGGAATTTCTAAAATTTTTCCCAATTGCAGAAAATTTGAGTATTTGGAACAGAATTTGTTACCCAATAGTTTCATGCCAATTAATCGAGCTATTGAAATCATTCGATCACTTGAATGTCACTGAACATTGCTTTCTGGTGGTGCTAACCTATTATACCACTTCAGTGTATGTGTTGACACAATTGCATGCAAGACAAATCATTCGTCTTCTTCTGGAAAGAAGCTTACAAAGCCGAGTCATTACTATGCTATTCCATCTAATTCGTGCTTATCAACCAAACATAGTTTCTCATGCATTAGACAGGTTCGCGTAACTATTCTCTTATCATATTATTGATTTCATAAAAACTTTAGAAAATAAGCTTTAGGTTAGTTTTTCGGAAAAAAACTAATCCATATTGAAAATCTGAGGAAAAGGAAACTCAAAAATTAAAAAAACTCTTTCTGCAAGGGAAATATACAAAGATTGTCATACAGTGTTTGCGTCAGGAACCAACTTGGTTAATGTTTGATTTGGATATGTCAGTTATTGTTTTCAAGATAGATTTTGTAGGTAAAAGAGAAGAATGACAGAGCAGTGGAGCCAGTAGTCGATTCCTTCAGTTTAACTGCCAAGGATGCTGATGTTGCCATAATAGGATTTTTGAAAGCAGTCAAAAAATTTCAAGATCGTGCATGGAAAAAAAACCCAATTAAGGTTTAATCATTTTGAGCTTTGATAGCTTGTGTTCACATCTTTTCTTCTTTTTTCATATTTTTTTCCTTTAATTTTTCATTCCTTTTTCATTTTTGTTCTCTTAATTTCTCATGTATATATAGGTCGGCCGATATTTCTTTCATCTTAATGGGAAGATATTTATTGATACAAAAATAGCTTAAGTTCACGCTTGCTTTCAATAATTTCTTCTCTGAGGCAATGTGATGATTCTTTTTTTGAACATTTTAATATTAATCATATATGTTTATTATATGCAAACATAAACGTCTTAAATTGCAAGAAATAGAGAACTGGATTCAAGCAGAAAAAATTTTTGTTCAGTTCGTGAAAGAACTATGGTAGGCTAATAAGTTTAATAAATTTTTTTCAGGCAAAATCAAAGCATCGATTAGTCTATGGTTTAAGAGAGGTGCTAAAACAGTTATCGCTCGAAACAGTGCATTGCGTTATATTGGCCCGCGATATCGAAAGCGATAAAAGTAGGTGTTTTGAATTCCGATACTAGTAGTTCATGGAAAAAATGTTTTATGTTACTGAATAAAGCATCCTTTTTGATTCAGTTTAATTTAGCAAAAATTAAAATAGTTCAAAAACTTAGTTAAATTGCGAGTGTTGAAATCTATCAGATTTTCATTGCTGTATTATCGGTGTAATAAATTCCCAAACCAATTCGGCTTTCTCGGAAACTGATAGAACAGTTATGTTTTTTTTTTATTCCATATTTTGGTACCTAATTCATTATACAGAATCCCTTTCTTGATGTGAATTGGTTAGTTGATAACATTTGAGGATAGCACTATTTTATTTTTCATAATTTCTTAACATAACGCAAATTGAATATTTTGTTTTCAGTCGATCTTGCTAATGAGATCGATATAATTAAAGAAATCTGTGCATCTAACCATACTAATATCCTTTGGATATCTTCGAAACACGATTTAGGTAAAGCAGTAAATAAATGGCCAATGGTGTCTGCTGTGGCGATTCTCGATTATCGTGGTGCTGAAGTACGTTCAAAGTCTTGTTATTATTAACCATGGAGACATTAGATTTAGTACATTTATTAATGCTCAAGTAGTTTGATTTATTAGCGTGTTCTTAGCAATATGGACGCCTCCGAATTTCAGTAATCAGTAAGAGGAAGCAGTGGATCAGAATCTCTTTTTGGAAATTATCAAAAAATTTTTTTTGTGTTATAGTTGATCCAATGAAAAAATTACGCTTTCAGGATGCTTACAGCACAGCGATCGAGACATTTACGAACTTTATGGCACATTGTCGGATTGCTGATCATGCTCATCAACCATCATTATTCGCTTAATGAATATATTCAACTATCACTTTCAAGAAGAATTCCATTAATCATCGAACGAGACACATCTTAGTTGCTTGTTTGATCTACGTTAGATGCGACCTAAGTATGTTTGTGATAGAATGTCATGATTTGTTTAATTATTTCGTTTGAATCCACCGACTGGATAATTGATAGCCATCTACGGGACTTAAATTTTCTTTGAAAATTTAGGAATTATTTTCCAGTACTTTCGGCCTTTGTATTTGTTTTCCTGAAAGATTAATTAACATTGATATTTACGAGTTCAAAGTAAAACAAAGAAATTTAGATCATTTCTTAATCTTCTTGTACTTCTGAAGTTGTGATAATTATTTCTGCGATGTGGCTAATCTCTTGGAAATATTTGTTACTTACTGCTGTTAAATATGTCGTGCACTAATGACCAACTTGAAATCTCTAAATTATTTTATTCCAACAAATATTAGTTTTAATATTATGGAGTATTATTTATGACTCGAATCAATATTTTTAGCTCCTTTCCCTTTTATGATTGCTTAACGAGCCTAAAATTTCAACCGTACAGATCCTATAGTGAATTATTTTTCTATTTTTCTTTTGTGGTCATGTAAGTTTAAAATTTTCAGCTCATGAAACATCTGTTTAAATCGGAAATCGTCGACATTAAAAAAATCCCTGTGAGATGGTTTAACAACTGTACGCTAAATTGAATGATCAGTATGCTTAAATGTTTATCAGGCTACTTTATCCTTTATTTGGCAAAAGCCTTCATAAGTTGATTAAGAAAATATTTTCCTGTAAAAAATCTCCTGATTAATTAATAAGATTACCATTTTTTAATCAGATATCAGATTAGAAATTTGGATATCTTATCTAGTAGATGATTTTCACAGAACGATCAAAGCTGAAGAGCTCATTCCACATTTCTACTATCACAAATAGTTTGTTAAGTCTTGTTTCCTTAATATATGTGATTTCATCACATAGTATTGGACTAATATATTTCGCTGTCATGTGATGCTTCGCTTATTGTTACGTTGCTCATTTGATATAATGTGATATTATGCTCTCACTATACCTAAGCTATGTGGTATTAAATGTTGTTAATCAAAACTTGTATTTCATGAGTTTTATTAAATTGTTGTAATAGATGTTGTAAGTGAATGTGACATAAACATTCTCTCTGGCTTTTTTCTTTTTTAGTTAAAACGTATCTATCATATTTCAGAGATATTCAATTATACTCAAAAATTACCTAATTGAATAATTATGTAGGTGTAATTATTGATAGCAGGTAATGCAGTAATTCCTTATAGTTAGGAGAAGTATAGGTGTGGAACTGTTATAGTTGGGAGAAGGTTGAAATTTGTCGAGGGTGGGTCTAATTTTGAATGGAATAACGCTGCAAGGGACGGTTCGGCCTTATGAGGAAATCGGAAGAACGCTGTATTTAGCTTGATATATGAAGTAGGTGTTTGGTGGCGAAACTTACTCGTTACTTACATATTCACTTGGTTTGAGTGGATTCTTTATTTGAGAATGTAGAGTTTGAAATTTTTATTTTTTAAGTTTCTATCCATAGAAATTTATTTTCGACTGACTTTCAAGAATTGCTAGCCTTTCACGCTCAGAAAAAATGAATGCTGAGGATATTCAGGCTGCAAGTGATACTGATAATGACTATGTGGCAGTTAATAAAATAGTTTAAAAGATTCATGAGTATGGTAAACAATCAGCATTTCATTTGTTTTCTTTCATTCCTCATTAATTTATAGATATGCCTGATTTCTTTCAAAATCACTTACGTTAAGCTTCAGTGATAGACATTCATGTTCGAACTTCCGTATAAGCATGAGTGGAATTGTTTTTCTTCTGTTGTGGAAATGTGCGATATGTAGGTGTACTTTTTTTCAGAATTCACTTACGTTGAGTTGCAGCCACACTCTTGAATAAGACGTGAAACATATCGACGAAGCTCTAGTCATACGCGGCATCTGTGTTTTATGCGAAGAAGAACACGACGCACTTCATCATTCTTTTCAAAGCGTTTCTTGCTGAGTCTTTTCAATTGTTGCCTTCCAAGTTCCTGTAACTCGAAAGCTAAATTGCATAAAGAGATGGCTGGACCGGTTGTTATTCCTGCACGTGATAAGCATACGGCAACTGTAAGTATGCACAGCTGTTTTTTGTATAGAACACCTTTAATTATACAAAATATCTAAATACTTGTTTGGATGTCACAAGGAAGTTTTTATGGAGTCAAAAGTACAATGACATGCTTGATGTCATGTTTCCACATAAAGGTTTATGTGAAAATTCAAATCATGTAAGGGCATCGCAGGTCTAAAAATTTGTAGTTACCGATGATCTTGGTACATGATATCCAGAAAAAGTATCATATTCAGAATAATCATATATATTAGAATGGAGGAGTATAGATAAATGATGCCTCAGGATTGATCGTGAAAAAACCAAAGCAGAGTGGTGGAAGTAAAAGTGTTCTGGTTTGTAATTTCTGGTGTAATTGTTAGTACAGTAGTAAAATTGATCTCTTATGATCTTTGACATTTTGATGCTAAGAAATATAAGAAATTTGGATCAGAAATTTCAGTGGAGATTAAGCATGGAACCGATTTGAAAATATGCGCTTGATCACGCTTAGTTTATGGATTCCTTGACGTACATACTGGTACAATAAAAGATTTCGTGAACTTCAGATCATATTTCTTCACGGTCTCGGTGACACTGGTCATGGCTGGTCTTCGGTTTTTGCGGATGAAATACGGCATGATCATATCAAATATATCTGTCCTCATGCGTAAGAATCATTTTGTTTTATTCGAAAGCAAACGATGCAAATAAACAAGATTTTAAAGCAATTTAGAAAACGTTGAAGTCCAACATATAAATAGCTTTATATATATATATATATAAATAGCTTTAAGAGACTTGGATGAGACAGAGCCGAAGATTTTTTTGTCCATTCATCTGAGTTGTGGTTAACTATCAAAAAAGGTTCATCATTTAGATGAAGATGACGGGATCTAAAAGTTACAAAACATGGGAAATAATTGATTATATGTGAATAAAACTTCTGAAGCTGGTGTATTACAGGTGTTTATTTAATGAATTCAAGAAAAACATACTACCATGCTTTTTTATTAGCTTTCCTACACGTTAGTTTTCTGGTTCTAATGTTACAGTGAACAGAGGAAAAATAAAACAGTTTATTACCTAGAGAAAACATATGAGATGAGTTTCACTTATTTCATATTTTATCATTTTTTCAATAATAGTCTAAATGTATAATATGTAACGAATGATATTTATAGCCCAACAAGAGCGGTCACATTAAATTTTGGCATGCAAATGCCAGCATGGTATGATTTGTATGGACTAACACCGAATGCAGAAGAAGATGAAGAAGGCATCGATGAATCAGCAATGATCTTACATTCCATAATAGATTCTGTGAGTTTCATTAAATCATGTTTAGCATCTCCTGTGTTCAAATCAAAGGAATATAAATACGTTTATGTACTCAAATCATGTGCGAAGTTACATGGTCTAAGAACACATGTTATAATATCTTCGAAATGTCATTCGATTTGAGCTTAGCGTTAAGCTGTAGTACTTTAAATTCAAAATCTTTTTAAATTTTTCAGGAAATCGATTCTGGTATTCCATCGGAGCGTATAATGGTAGGAGGCTTTTCAATGGGTGGTGCATTAGCACTTTACGCCGGACTGATATATGATAAACCACTTGCTGGAATAATTGGTCTCAGCTCTTTTTTGGTACAACGCACAAAATTGCCTGGGGTAATGCTGATAAGGAACAGTTGTTGATGTAAAAAAGCATAGATGTATTCAGATCGAATTATCTAGTTTCAAACGAGGTTTAGTAATATAATAATGGAGATCAAATTTTAGCATTTTAGTGCTAATATCACTTTAATCACACGTCAGCCTTTATGTAAGAATTTCTACTGTTATATAGAAAATTTGGAATATATTTCGAAATGCATTGCCGGAAACTTTCTATGTCTATCGGAAGAGCTGCTGTTTTCTCTTTTTTTTTTTGATTATTTTATCATTTCTACGCTTATTGCAATTTAAAATTTTCTAAGAGCTTATTATTTCTTTTGAAACGCCAACAACTTATATTTCAGCATGCTTGTAACCTTCTAATCGGTTTTGCTCCTATTAGTTTTAATAATTTTCATAAAAATTTGGGTCATCAGCTTAGAAGATGCATATTTTTCAGAATCACACAGCTAATAAAGGTGTGCAGATATTCATGGGCCATGGTGGTCAAGATTTCTTAGTGCCCCTTTCGTTTGGCCGGATGACAGAAGCATATATCAAAGCTTTTAATCCGAATATAAATATGAAGGTATATCCAAGAATGGCACATAGTAGTTGTCCCGAGGTATTTATTTTTTATTAGTTCACACTAAATACATTGAATTCATCGTTTAAATTACAATTCGTCTATAAAGGTTTTATTTGCTTTTTTGTGTATAATTATTAAGTTTGTTGTAACTATATTGTAACTAGGTAAACTACACTATTTATTTCGCATTTCAGCAAGATGTGATATTTGTCTCATAAACAAGTTTCTTTTTAATGACAGTGATAGGTGGTAGAAGATGAATTAAATGAACCGTCGAAAGGGTAAAAAAATTCACACTTTTTGAACACTGCACTTTCATTGATTATACGTGAATAAAAGTTATATATAATTTTGTAATATATGCGATGCAATTTTTTGCAGGAGCTCGTTGATGTTAAAGAATTTATTGCACAACGATTACCACCGATATAGTCTTTATAAGTAGAATGCAGTTAGCGTGTCACCGTTTTCAGTATTTTCCATAGAATGTGTGGTAAAATTGATTCATGTGATGTTGCTGATTTTGTATAATTAACGCATAAATTATTTAATATGATTTAAAATTTCATTTCTTATTTTTCTGCTTTGTGCGGTTGAATATTTAAATTATTGATAAAGTTGTACATACAACCATCGTAAATCATTATTTGTCGTATAGAAAAAGATTCGATCAATACTTCAAAGCGCGGTTTTCACATTGTGCCCCAAGTTGGAAGAAACGTAGTTTCTACTACGTTGCTTATTAGTTAGTAGATGCTGTGTCGAATATCAGTTATTTGTGATTATGTTATATTATTTTTTTGAGCAAAAAAGATTTTATCGCATACTAATTAGAAAAAATCGTTTCCTTAGCAAAATTTGTTTTTAACTGATAACGATTAAATACTCTTTGCTCTTTCACTCTATAATTCAATTTTCTAATTTTTTTTGCTTCTGGTGGGTTTTTTTGGCTGGAAGTAGTTTAGCATTTAAGTTTTAAGATTTCCACTGAAATTTCAGGTGTGCTGTTGTTTGTGTGAATGTCTTTACATTTCCGAATAAGGTGATAATCGGTGAAATAGCTGTCAGATCAGTTAATTTCACAAAATTTAAGCAGCAATGCAGAGAGAGAATTATATTACGTTCATAATTCTGCATTTGTTCAGTTTATTCTGTGTTGAACAAGGATTTTATGTTCCCGGTGTTGCACCAGTTGAATTCAGAGATGGTGATCCCATTGAAGTGAAGGTTAAATTTTGTTCGTATATCCATTTAAGGATCGCTCTTATTCAAATTTTTCTTTTTTTATTTCTGCTAATGGTTATTAATTGTGGATTGATTCCCAATACATTAAGCAATGCTTACGTATGAACAATCTGAAAATATCTTTGGAATAGTTTGTCAGTCTAAAGAAATTGGACGTTTGTATGTGGTCAAAAAATATGAGAATTTAATATTATCTGTAAAATCGTTTTCTAGTCTTTAAAAGGAGCACAAATTGTGAGTTGAAAGCAATATGCAAGCATTTCTGGTCAAAATGTGGCCTGCATTCCTCAAGATAAGAATTGAAGGACAGTTCTGTATAAGGTCCTTGTGAAGGATTGTAGGGGAAGTCAACACTGACTTTTAGTTCTTCCAATTTCAGCTCATTTTAGCGCGAAACGTTTAAGGTGTTAACGATCCCTAGTGAATATAGAAAGATATAACAAAGTTTGGTTTCAAGCTTTTTGGACTCATCAGTTTTTTTCAGGGCATAAAAATAACCTCAACGAAGACAGTCGTACCATATGAATATTACGCGTTGCCTTTTTGTCGCCCTCAAGGTGCAATACATTATATTTCCGAAAATCTGGGTGAGGTAATGCGCGGTGATCGCATCGTAAATACACCTTTTGCAGTTAGTTTTAAAATTTATTTAGAGGAAATAGATAAAACTAAGGGAACTAAAAAATTCGGTGTTCAGAGCAACATAATGACTGATTGTGCTTTTTTGATGTTTTGAAGAGTTTGTAGATATTTATGAAACGTGATGTAAAATGCAACACAACATGCTCACCGCGTATCCCGGTTTCCCTTAACCCGGAAGATTCCGAAAATTTGGCAAGGAGAATCAGAGAGGAATATCATGTGCATTTGTAAGTATACCTATACCAGTAAGGATAAAATTTTGCAATTTTGTAGTTAACACAATTTTAGTGTTTTTGTGAAATTATTAACTGAATTAATAATATCGGTAAGTAAGCTAGTAAACTGATGGACGGGGATAGAACAATTTTGATATGACGCTAGAGCGGGTCATATTGATAGTTTGTCGGTGCGGAGTGTGGAAACACACTGGAAGTTTCCATGTTTTGGATTTCGATATAAAGTGCGGTGGTATTCAAGACTGCTTTAAAGCCAACTTTTCTTAGTAGTGATTCACTACCTATATGAACTATAAATTTACTCTCTTCCGCCTGATTCAACCGTGAATTTCAGATTAGTCGATAATCTTCCGTGCACAACAAGATATCAAATTGAAAATACAAATGAAGTGATTTATGAGAACGGGTATCGTCTTGGATGGGAAGATAATGGTCACTATTATGTAAATAATCATCTTGATATAATTCTACGCTATCATCAACCGAGACCGGATGTTTTTCGTGTTGTTGGTTTTGAAGTACAACCACAGAGTATTGATAGCAGTCGTGTTAAATTTGCTTCGGATGCACCGGTTTGACTTTTTCTCACAGTTTTGAAATGCTAGCACTATTTAATATGATCAAATACGATTAAAAAAGGTTTTGCGGAATTCGCCCAATTTTTGAAACAAATTGCTCTTTTCGTTTTACATTTTTTGAAGTTTAATAATGTAGTACTTTTGACCAAAATAGTATGAAATCAACAATCCTATATATTTTCAGGAGTGTGTAATAGCTGATGGAAAAAATCAGGAAGTGGAAAAGGGTATAAACAATATAATTTGGACCTATTCAGTAACTTGGGAAGAAAGCAATGTTCCTTGGGCTAGTCGCTGGGATACTTACTTGTCCATGAGAGATGTCCAGATCCATTGGTTCTCAATCGTGAATTCGATCATTGTCATCTTGTGCTTATTTGGTGTGATCATTTGTCTTTATGCATTAAACAAGTTATCCGAATATAATTGACATATGTTTATCTTTATAGGAATTTCGATTTGTTTGGATAATTAGTAATAGAGTTGATTGAATGTTTTTAATTTCCTTCCAAGCATAAAACTGGTATCTTGTTTTTTCAGGTTTCCTTAGCGTCATCATTGTTCGCACTGTACGAAAGGATATTGCAAAATATAATAAAGGCGAAGAGTTGGTTCGTAATCGTTAATTCAGTTATCTTTTTTTTTTTGAAATTGATTAACGGCAAATAGCTTCCATCGATAATTGTGATCATCATAGGATGACACTTTCGAAGAATCTGGATGGAAATTGGTTCATGGTGATGTATTTCGTCCTCCTCCTGGTTCGATGCTTTTGGTAAATTTTGTGGGTGCTGGTATTCAGCTCATTGGTATGGTCGCTATTACGGTTTTCTTTGCTATGCTAGGAATGTTATCACCAGCAAGCCGAGGGTCCTTAATGTCTGCAGCGATTGTTCTCTTCTGTTTGATGGGTCTCGTTGCCGGTTACCATGCCGGCCGTCTTTATAGGACGTTGAGAGGTTACTTTTTGGTTTTGAACGATTTTCAATGATAGATGTTCAAGGATTTTAAAGATTGTGGATTTGTTTCACTTAGAATAAAAAAGCGAGCAGAAATATTCTCGAAATTGATATTCATATGAAATTCAAATGAAGGAATAAGAGGAAGTTGATTCTACTTCCCTTGAGCCTTTTGGTTCCACGAATTGTGATTTTTGAATCATTATTTGAATCTAGTTCAAAAACTAAGTGTTGATGTAGTTTTTTCGAACAAATAAATAAAGGAAAAAATAGAGAAAAAGCGGAGAAAAGGTCAAGGTCTCTATAGCAATTATTCCCATTGCGATACATTTCCATCACAAGCCAAAAACCTTATTGCATGAGTCTTAAATCTAAAGCAGAGCCTAGGACTTGGTCAGCTTCCTTATCTATCTTTCTAGGTCATTTGAACAGTGACTCATCCAGTTAAGAAGATGTTTCATTTGCACTTTTGAATTTTTTCGATTCATTTTGTTACATTAGCAATAGATCGGTGCTTAAACAGTTTATGTCAGGTACAAGCCCACGAAAATGTGCATTTCGGACAGCTGTACTTTTTCCTTCAGTCATCCTTGGTACTGGCTTTTTGTTGAACTTCTTCCTAATTGGAAAGCATTCATCTGGAGCTATACCATTTACTACGATGGTCGCACTTCTGCTTCTATGGTTCGGAATTGATTTACCGCTTGTATTCCTTGGATTTCATTTTGGTTTTCGAAAACAGGTATGTTTTTGTATGCTGCAAAATAACGTCATGCTTTTTGAAATGGAACACAGTTTCCCCACTGGTGCGTAGAAATTTTTTACACTGACGGATAAGATACTCGTAATGGCGTATTGCGAGAGACTTTCAATTAAGAAAAATTTCTCAGCAACCATTTTTCTTTGCAGGCTTATTCTCATCCGGTTCGTACAAACCAAATTCCACGCCAAGTTCCGGAACAGCCTTGGTATTTGCACACGTTACCGTGTATGCTTCTTGCAGGAATTCTTCCATTCGGAGCTGCTTTCATTGAATTGTTCTTCATATTTTCTGTAGGCCTTTGAGCCAATTTGAATCTGTTTATTTTAAAGTTTATTTTTAAGATTTTTACGTCTATTGTTTTAGAACTAGCCATTACGACATTATGCCTGAACATATTGCTGTGAATAATTGCGCAGTTCTGATATTTTTTAATAATGGGAGAAATGCTGCTGTAATCGTTTTCATTACTTCTCATGTTTACGAATTCATTGACGGATGAAGTCTGATTTCACTTCGATATTTTTTTTCAGGCTATTTGGGAAAATCAGTTCTACTATCTTTTCGGATTTCTGTTTATTGTCTGTGTTATTCTCTTCATATCATGCGCACAAATCTCCATTGTTGTAACATACTTCCTTCTATGCGCTGAGGTTTAAATTCTAGAAGTTATGAGAAAAATAATTCAATATACATTTCTTGTGATTTTTGTAATTTCAAAATTGAAACGAGATCAATGAAACAGATTTAAAAATTTAAGTTTTTGCTTTGAAAAATTTTTTCTTAAAATTTAGATCTATTTTCTATTTCTTTATCTGCTGTATTACAGAATTATCACTGGTGGTGGAAGTCTTTTGTTATCAGTGGTGGGTCTGCGATTTACGGTATGTTAATTACTTACTGAAGATAGTCATAATCCAAGATAGCTTCTGCCGTTGACTTATCTCACAATTTTAATAGGCTCATGAGGTAATAAACAATGATCAATGAACTTTTAATTTCTTTATCCTTCGCATATTAAATGAGTTAAGTTTTTCATTTTTGGATACCACGCAATATTTAAAATATTTTTGCTTTTTCCAGTGATGGGATATGCAGTCTTCTACTACTTTAGTAAGGTGAGTTTGACTTTTTGTCTGTTTTAACCAGTTTTCTCTGAATATTTTTGTATTCAATGTTGTATATTCGCGATAATGGAATTTACCGTGATCAAACGACGCACGATTTTCATTGGTTATCATTATTTTATTTGTTATCCATTCCTCTTCTACACCACGAGAGTGAGCAGGAATGATGCAAATTGCATATTGTTCTTTGACTTCTTGAAATTCGTCTGTATTTTTAATTTACTTTGTTGAGTACGAAGTTGAAACAGTGTTGTTATATCCAATATTTTTAGGAAGAAGTAATAACTTTTTATGTTACATTCAATTCATTGAAAAAAAAAAATTTTTAATTTACAGCTGAATATTATTGGCTTCATTCCGACGCTTTTGTACTTCAGCTATAGCTTCCTGATGGCATTAGCATTTTGGATCTTGACAGGCACAATTGGTTTCTATGCGGCTTACTCCTTTTTATGCCGAATTTACGCAGCTGTTAAGATTGACTAACTAACATTTTTCAAATTTATGTACGTAAGGTCAATTTCTAATTTTTTCCAAGATATGCTTTATCATTAAACCTTTTTTTTGTTTTGTGCCGGATATTGTGAAAAACTGAGGAGAGAAATAAGATTGAAACTGCAGTTCTATGCAGTTGCTGTCTTACTGAATGGAGCCTGGAACTAAAGGGGTTGAAGACATGTTCGTTACGGATTCTAGAAGTATTAAAGGGGCATCACGGAAAAATTAGAAATAAGCATTTAAAATTTTTTTGTGTTTTAGTAACTTTCATGCGACGTTCTATCATGCGAGATTACCATGATTATTTTCATATACATCACGTTTTTTCGTGATTGTAGTGCAGTCGTACGTAGCGTGCTGTAAAAAATTTAAACATCTATTGAGAGCACGCACGCTGTTTCCTTCTTCAGACACTTTTCTTAATATATAATTTGTTAACTTGGCAGTAAGTTTCATTATTTTCATGCAATTTAGGCTAACTCATAATTACTCCTTGATCGCTCAATGCTTCTTCATAATTAAGATGGAGAAGAAAAACTTTCAGAAATATGAAATGAACTTACTTAACTTTTCAAAACATATCATTTTTCGTCAAGGAATAATTGACATTGTCACAGAGATCGTAATTGAGTAGTATAGAATTAAGTACAGTGTAAAAAACAGTTCTCAAAATCATTGTTTTTACTTATATTGATTTCCATATTTTCTTCAGTTTTGTCTCTTCTTATTGTATTATTTGTAATTATGATTTTTTAATGATTTTATTCCTTTGCAAACCATGCTGTTTTTCTTATTTATTTTTTTCTCTGTATGTCTGTTACTCTCCTTTGCTGCATAACGAACAAAATTCAGGATACCATACGAAATAGTATGAAAAAATATTCTTGTTCTATATCATCTTCGTTGACTTATGAAGAAAATTGTTTTTAGTTATTCTTAGATTTCTTATTTAAATCTACTTAGCAAAGTATTTGGTTTAGTGTAAAAATCAATTGTGGAATTGAGTTCTGCAAATGTTCATCCTTTATGATGAGAACTTAGATGCTGTTTTGGATAGTCTATTTCTTTCCAGCTGATATACTTTTATTTGAAACATATCCGATACCATCTCCACTGTTGACTGCCACTTGATGAGAATTGATTTAGAATTTTATCTTGTATGGTCTAAAATGTAATTTTTCATCAATCATACTCTCTGTACAGCAAAGGTTATTCATTGAACATGTTGTCACAAATGAAAAAAAAAATGACGTTAGATTAGTTGATACAGCGTTTACATATTATTGTAAAGTGCTCCCAGCAGTACATATTATTTTTACACGATAGTATTTGTAATAAATTTTTCAGTCATTATTTTGCTATTGTACTATTACGACAATGATTAATCATAAATTATAGTGGATGTTTTATAAATGGATTGGAATTAATAGACATAACGCTTTTTGTTCTCGTTCAAAAGATAGGAATAAAAGATTTTCTTTTTAGTGGATTGGTAAAAGAAATTATATCATGTTGTTTGAAATCAACGTTTTAGTACTTTTTTTACTAATTAAAATTCATATTATTTCCTATTAGTTTTCCTTGTTTTCTTCTAACTTTTTGTGATAAGATTTCAAAAGAAAAATTTTCGTTTGTTCACGTAGCTTTTATGGAAGTTAAACGATACGAGTTTTTATTTTAGCAATATTTCTTCATGGTTAACTCAATGGAACTGATTTTCAGAGTGTAATCAGAAAATTAATGGGAACTAAGTATATATTCAATGATGGTAATGGCGGATTTGATGTTTTTCGGACGAGATTGTTGTTGATGTTTGGTGGACCGTTAGGCTTTCATCTTTTGTATTTACGTGAGCCTCTCGAAGCTTATGTGTATTTCGCGACTTTCGGCCTCTCGCTGGTTGCAGTATTTTACGATGCAATAACTCTGAATAGTCGTGTTGCTGCACGAAATAAAGAAATAGACATGTAAGCAGGTGTTATGAGACAATTATAAAGCGGGTGACTTTATAGTTGATGTGTTTATTGCTTGGAATTCGATCACTTAACCTTAACTCTTATGCACTCTTCGTTAAATTTGTGATGTTTGGTACAATTCTTTCAATTTTACATTGTATAATTCTGCATTGTTAGTTTACCCTCCTGTTGTCAAATAAAAGATGAAACATTTAACGATAAATCAATCATCGGAAAAGGTGGTTAAAGGGTACCAAATTTGATTCATTAAGAATATCAAATAGTTTATTTCAGCGAAGATATCAGCGATCGAAAAGTGAAGGTAATATCCACTTCAATTATCCGCTTTATTGCACAGTTTCTGTTTGGTTGTTGGATTGGATTCTTATTTTCTTTGGTAACTATTCTACTTGTTGGCACTAGACATCGCGTTCTTTTAGCGTTATTCATAGCTGCCGGTGTTGCTCAAGGTTTCAGTTTTATTTGTATGGACTAGCATGTTTTGGTCTAAATTTTTGTCTTATTTTCATGTATCATTTTTCATATGAAGATCCTGTAGCCATGATGGGGTCGCATAGGTAACACTTGTTTGTATAAGTTGGGAAGTTTTAGTTTCTGGTACTCGTCCAGATCTACAAAAAATGATCAATATATGTTTTTCATAAAGTTCTGCAGAAACTGTGTGATATGGTAGTATTCAAGAAAGTTTTGAACTTTAAACGTTATCCGATAGCGAATTTTTTGCAGGCGTTTATGTTGTTGGGAATTGTAGAAAGCAACAACGTGACTTAATTTACATAGCACTTTCGGCAGCTCTTTCTTCTTTAATAGCGGTTGGAACTTATATATTAAAATGTCACATAATTTCAGAGGGTTTCTGCGCTGATTAATGTTTTTATTATGCCTGAAGAGTTTGACGGACATGAGATATTTCCTTACCTCATTTTTGCAGTCACGTTACTATCAGCTAATGTATTATACTGAAATGATTGGGCAACTAGTTAGCACAATTACTAAGTGTTTTATAAGATTGTGGCAAGTCGTATAATGCTATTGAGAGTAATCTTATTCTTTCTGTAATTTATTATTTATTATTCTATTAAAACTGAACTATTTTCAGATTCTTTTATTTGATCTTTCTTTATGTCGAGCAATTTTCTTTACTTCAATTTCGTCGACATTTGTTGGCAATCGCAGTGCAAAACTTCAAAATACCCAGAAATTCTCACTTGCGACATATTTTGTATGTTTACTTTGAGCATTTTATAATGCAGCTGTTTTTATTTCACACATTTGCATCTTCATTCTAATTGCTGACTTTTCACAGAGTACTTAGGAAATTTTGCCCTTGACCAAAGATGACCTATGAAATTTTACTTAAAACATTTACATCAGATTTTTCATGCGTAATATCACTGTTTGACGAGCATTGGTGCGGCTTAAAAGTTGGTGATTACATTTTATTGCGATGATAACATAGCAATAAATGAGCTAATAAGATGTTTTCTGTACTTAGAAGCCGAGTTTTCATTTAGAAGAGCTTAAATAGTATTATAAGTTCAACTGTGTAATTTGAAAGCATGCTTTTCTGCATGAATTTATATTAATTTAACCAAATTCGATAATAATTTTTGCGATGGTTGAAACTTCACGGTCTTTATCAAAATTTCCTAGCAGAAATAACTAATCAGTAATAAATGGGCTCTATTACCACTTTTTATTACCATTAAAGAAGATAATCTTTTGCATTCTTACATCGCTGGTATGGTCCTGTCATTCTGCTTATTACTTTTGTATTGTTACGAAAATGTTAGGAAGTCGAGTCATATCGTACTTTTTTGTTAGGATGTTGTGAAGAAAGTGAGTTATTGATTTCCGAATATAATTTCAGATCCTCTCACTGATTCATTCATTTATCGTGATCATCATTATGATTGGTTTGGTGCGTGTCGTACTTGATCGACGCATTTCAGTTCTTATGGAAAATTCTTACTCTCGTGTTTCTGCTTCGCTTGGTTCTATTATACAGGATAAATATTTCCGAATTCCAAGCAAAGATATTTTTGAAAAATTTTCACGTATCGAATATTTCCCATTGCAACATATAACGGTAAAGTAAGATTGAATTAGTGACGATTTAGATCTTACAATAATTTTGTGTTTTCTTTTAAGAAGTCCCGTACAGTGATAAAAAAGAAATATTTCAGTTAGAAAAAACGGAAATGTTTCAATTAAAGTTAAGGTTTTCAATTAGCGTTATAACATTATGTTTTAGATACTGAAAACAGGAACTTCTTCAATAGAACATCATAATGGCCGGGAAGAATTATCTGTTTTCGATTACTTAACTGTGTTAATTATCGACTTCATGCGATATAGTACGGAGCTGTCGAAGAACACAGAAAAGCAAGGATCTAGTGCTTTACAGTTAGCCTTATGGAGGACATTCGCTCTTCATGTTCGTCGCTGAGTCATTGTTTCTCTAAGCTGTTCTTAGATGTAAAATATTCAATAGCAGTACAGTACTTGTTTTCGGTGAGGAGAGTTGCCACTGTTTTCTGGATCTAGCATGATGTTTATTGCTGAAAAGAGATGTATTGAAATCATGTTTTGTTAGAACTAATTTGGCAATCTGTTTTATAGCTACTTCAAATTAACTGCAGATTTTCATTTTCAGCTTACTCAGTCCCCAAATATACTAAGAGAAAATTGGAATATTGTTGCAAGATATTGTAGTGAACGAGTTTTGTTCGGTCATTTCAATTATTCTTAATCTTTTTTTTACTACACATAAGAGCGTTTTTATTGTTTTATCTAAGATCGAGAAGGGAGTGCTCATATAGCTTTCATTCAAATAAACATTATTTCTTCTATCATTCTTCAAACTCTATTAACCAAGTAGTATTTTTTAGATGAATTCTTTATGTTGTTATTGAAGGGAATTGATACACTAACAATGTGGAATTCTTCCAAGTAATCTCCTTAGAATTAAAATAGCAGAATTGGCAAGGCATTTATTCCTTTCCATATCTTGTTGATGTATATTTTCAGATAATGCATGGTAAAATAGTTCAGCTATTAATTTTAATTATTTAAGTTTAGTAAAGTTCTATCGCATTTAGAATTCTGGCAATTATTGAAATTTCTTCCAGTCGTCATTATTCAATTGCTTATCCATTCCGATTTGTTAATTGTTCCCCCGTTTCCATCTAATGATTTTCGATACCTTCTCCGTCCTCTTTCCATCAATCATCTATCTTTTATGATTCCCATATTGCACATATGGCGCTCTCTTTTCGAAAAGTATTCGACCATAAGCTCATATGTGTCAGTACATTTCTCATCATTGTTACGGATATTTTTGTGATGAAGTTCTTTTCTCCCATTGATATTACGAAATCCAATTGTCGGAACTCTCCACTGACAGCTATTGTTAATTGAGAACATCTTTCCAAAACGTTCTTTTGATATGATGGGAGCGAAGTTTGGTTTGGTACTAAATGTGTCGTGAAATCTGATCATTCATTAACTTAATAACTATTGAAGCTTTTATCATAGCTGTAATAGTTCTTGAAAAGATTTCTTTTACTGATACATTTTAAGGTTTTGGATGTGACACCATATGCATCGGATGAAAAAGTGCTACAGGAATGTACGAAATATTTGAAACATAAAGAAATAGTCGGAGAGACTGTGCGAAATAGCAAGTACTGGCAACACAAAGCGACCGAAAAAGCTTGCAAACTTTTGCGCATTATAATCAAATAACTGGATTTAAAGTACGTTTCACGGCTGATTTAAAAAAAATTTTTTTAGTTATGAATAACTGTCTTAAAATTTTTTCGTTTTCATCTTAAAAATATGAAAAATGAATTTTTCATTTTTTTATGGTATCGAATTTATGAACACTTCAAGAAATTCTACAGGTTATCATTATTATTTGTTAGTCGTGCTCTGACGAATTGATTTTTGAGTCGCATATCTTGACTTTTGAGTTATATGGCAGTGCTAATCTTGGAATGGAATTTGGATAACATAAGATTTCCCAATTTTTTTTCATATGTGCAAATTGAATTCCTTTCTGTTTCATTTATCTATCTGTTAAGTTTTTTTGATTTCACAAAATCTATGTGAGTCCTAAATTTATGTTTAAAAGTTGCTGCAATTTAAACAATTGATTTGGATTTAATTGTGTAAAATTCGCAGAAATTTTAGATATACAAACAGGAATGTCTCTTTTTTGATTGGAAAGGTGAAGAGACAGAATGGCGGATATGGGTTGTGAATTTACGTACTTGTACGTCCTCCAAAACTTTTTTGGTTCATTTGGTTGAATGAGCTTGTTAATTGGACTACGGTAGAACCCTTTTACATCCCACCAGGTGTACATCGTCGGGTCTTTTGTATCACTACTCAAGTCCTAAACCAAAATAATGGAACTTAGAGTGCGACAGCATTTTATATTCGTTCTTGTATCCTGTTATTCTTAGTATTTATTTTGGGATTGCAGGTTGTGCTGGTATTATTACTTCTGATTTGGTTCGATGTATGCCATGGAACAGTCGCATCTCATCGCTCTCATTGCCCTTTTTCACAATCACACTCATATCCCTTAATTGTTCATGTATCTTGTTTGATATTGTTATGCCTGCAGTCTCTATCGCTGGTGACGATATTGTCACTTTTCTTCAACATCAGTTTAAGGATCATCTCACCGTCTCGCTCACCTCGCTATTTTTTATGCACTCGATATTGTCAAGGATAATAGTGGTTTGATCGTGTTTGCTGATCTGTGTTTGGTAAGTTCATCCTTTTTTCTGATAGATTTTTTCAGGATTATGTGAAGTTACCTAGGAAATTTTATTCTTTTTATTGGACACACACTATTGTGGTTTGAAATTTTCAAGTATCATTTGTGCTTGCATACGTTATATATATGTGCATATCAGAACAGTGCCAATTGAAATGAACTTTTCAATCCATTCCATGCAGAATTTAGTAAGTTCTTCCAGAGATTTAAGAATTTTTCACAAGAGTAAAGTTTTAATATTTTCTATAGTAAAAGTGATACTTGAAGTACACTAAAAGATTGCCAATCCGTCCTTTCACCTATTAATTATTGTTCTAATTGTGGAAAAAGCTGTAATCAAGTTTTTATACATTTATGATTCTCATTTCATCTCTAATTCTAGAATTGCTACAAATACCGATATCTTATCATTCCTTTGTCATAGTAATTAACTCTTGTTAAATGGGATTCCAGAAAAGCTTCGTTAATCGTACAGTGGCAATTGATTCTGTGGAGATAACTATTAGCTTCGGTTTGCCAACTTATGAGGTCTATGGTGTTCTTGGATATCCTGTAATAATTATGAACTCGTTAGTATTTAAGGAATTTGAAATATACCGGAACTATACGTTAGCTATAATACCGCATTGATGGTGAAGTTTCACATTCCGAAATAACCTTAAGGGAATGAGGTTTAGGTGAGTTATCTGATGTATTTTTGTTCAGTCGAAGTTGCATTATATATTTATTGCTCGAGAACTGTCCCGTTAAATTTCTTGGTTCGTCGTAGCATTTGTGGAAGTTCGATTTCTTTTGATTACTCAGGCGAGAGTAAGCGATGTGTAACACTGTTCAAATAACTGAATAATAAAATCTTTAAAATAAGAGACATCTCTTGGACAGACGAACAGGAAGATCTTTTAGTTGTGTATATATAAAAGGGTTGTTTTTAATAAAATGAGGAGTTTCGACCGATCTATATTTATTTGCATAGTGAGTTTCGGAATATCAACAATTAGCAGTCGGTGAGGAATGAAAAGTTTTTTCGGTCAACCAACAATTAGTAATTGATGTTTGTGGTTGCTTAATTCATAATATTATATGTATTATATGTTAGTGTTGCAAGTGAAGTGAAGACATTTTAGTATTTCATTTCTTTACGCGTATTAATTCTGTAAAAAAGTTTTATTTACTTAGTGTAATGAGAACGACGTGCATTTTGGTTGTTAGGGTAGTAGAACGGAACGGGACAGTTATTTGAGAATGGATGAATGAATGAATGAATGAATGAATGAATAGCGGGGTAGTTGTTCAGTTGGTTTTTTTCATTTGTTTTTATTGGTGTTTCGATGAGTCATTCTGGGGCATTTTAATTTCTGTGCAATATTTTTGTTTGATTCTCTACATCGTTTCTTCTTTTCCTTTTTTTATCTCTTCGATTTTCTCATATTTTCCTCTATTTCGAACTCGACATAAATACCCAAAAGGATGTTTTGATCATCGCTATAAAGCTTTTGCTGAATTTAGTTACAAAAAGATAGTATCAGTATTGGTGTTTCGGAGCATTGTAATTGGTTAATTGTTCAGCAAGATCGAAGCAATTGATTAAAAGATTTAGTTCGTTGATTGCTCTTGCTTGCTTTGAAATTAGCAAGGTTGGTAAAAGTAATTAGATAAGGGAAGGAAGGAGAATGTCATATCAACGAATGTTTCTTGTCAATTAATCTTTTGCGGTTTAGATAATTGTTAAACGTAGATGTTTTGCTTCAAACTCTTCGAGCGCATTTTCAAGTAATAAAGTAGTTTAATGGTAAATTATGTAGTGCTGCAGTGGTTTTAAAATATTGCGCTTACACTTGAGTTTATTGTTGCTTGGATTTTTATAGTAAATAATTTGTGCAAAGTGTACACTATATCATTATATCCATGTTTGTTCTTATTGGAAGGTAGCACCTTCCATGCTATTTAAAGCTCTTTGACACCACTTGGTAGTTAAATTGGGACAATTTATTTCGATTAAATTTAGCTTAAATTGATTCTTAGCTTATTAGTTTGATTTTAGTTTAATAACCGGAAAAAATTCAAATTTTTACGTTTTTTATTGCAACCCTAACTGTAACGTGTTTGACAGCTCAACAGTATTTTCGTTCCTGCATAAATATTGCATGGTTAAATTCTTTCATCTTACTGATATGTGCTGAAGCAATTTTTCACCACAGACATGCACACCGAAGCGAATTTTCCACCTCACTGATTGAATGGGTTATTCCATCTCTTTGAAAGTGAAATGCGATGTTTAAGCTCTCTGGAGTACAAAAAATATTTTTGATAGAATGCTGAAAGTATGGAGCCGTTGTTGGCGACTTAAGGAAAATTGGTGGTTTGGAGATAGGTAGTAATCTATATATATATATATATATATATATATATGTGTATGTATATGTACGTATAATATGTATTTTGACGATGCCATCTCACATTCCGCCCTTTTTTCTCATTTTCCTTGTTTTCCTGTTGCGCTGAAAGCATTACACCGACTGGTATGATCTTATGTTATCTAGGTTTCACTGCTTTGTCCCAAACAGAAACCAATTTTATGGTGGATAGGAAGGAATTCCCATAAAATTCACTAAATATTTCGTAATACATATCCATAGGTTTGCGAATAAGTAATGAATTTCTGAATGTGCTATCTTTCACCACTCTATATACCGTAATGTAATCACAAAAAACTAAACCTGTGTAGATAGTAATAGTAGAATTTTGCTATTAAAATTAACACAAGATATCTTGATAGAATCCGAGCTAATAATTGAAGAGTGATTACTAAAGTGTTTTCTAATTATAAAGAATAACTTTTTGCGAATGTTATTCAAAAATTGTGATATTAGTTAACCAGAGAAAAGTTTGTATTTCTGTCCCTATAGTCTCATCAAAGTTTTTGGGACACCTTTCATTTTAGTTTATTAATATTATTAAGGATAGTGGAAAATCTGTATCTGTCAATTCTTTTCATTAAACATAAGCTCATTTTTGTCTTCTTTTGCAGTAAGTAGCAACGAGTTGTATAAAATTGAAGATTTTATTGGCTAGAGAATGGTAGACTGTACTCATCTACTTATGATTTGTCATACGACGATGGAAAGTACAAGGAAGAGGAAAAGGAAAAAATGGAAATGGATGGATTTTTTTCTGAATAAAAAAGTTTTTAGTGCGATACATAGATGCATGCGAAAACTCCTAAGAGTTTTAGATCTCAAAAAGATAGTAACCCTTTTGGCACTTGGTTATAAGTAGCATTATTCATTTCTTATTTTTTTAACGCAAAAATATTGGGTAGACGAGTGGTGAAGATTCTGCTTATCGTTGATTCATGAATGTTTTTCCAAGCATTTCTGCAATTTGCTCTAGTTCTGTTTTCCTGCGTAAGTTTTGTGCTTTTATGAATAAATATGATTGAAATTTGAATCATGATGATATTTTGCATTTCTGCAACTAATATCCGACAGAAAATTTTAAGTGTTTTTTTTTTTTTGATAGGTTAAAGAATTACGTCCAAAGGAATACGAAGTGGAAGCGGTTTGCAGGTCTTATATCATTTACAACATTTAGATTTGGATTTCGTGAAAATCGATAGACAACTTTTAATCAGCATTGTCGTTCGAATGAGATTAAACGAAGCTTTTGTAGTATCAGCATGTCCACTATAGACAAAATCAGCAGAGATGAAGGGATGGGCTGGTTTGTGACCGATTACTAAATAGTAAATTTAAAAGCTTCACGTAAATTGGGTTACATAGAGATATTTGTCGAAAAATGCAATAAATCGCAATATTGGCGGGGAAAGAACAATGCGAGAGACATAAGAATGAAAATTAGATACAGGTTCAATCGATTTTCAATCTTAGTAACATCTGGCATGTCCGTCCTGATCATTGCGAATTTAACTAATGGAGGGAAGGGGAATGTTGTCGGTCATTTATAGCTTTTGTCGATTTTTCCTTGCTTCACATATATCTACTGAAAAATCTGTCGTAGTTTTTGAATTCCAGTGGATTAAAATCGTGGACAAAATGAGCAGAATGTTTCTTTCTCATCAGCTTTATCGTGATTTCCGAAAGTTTACAGCTGTTAAGTGATTATTTCTAATGTTCATGTTTTTGTTACTGATGAACAGAGGATGTCTGATTTACATAGGCATTCATTTAGAACCGGTTTGTTTGCTAATATTAATTTGTGATATGACTACACATACCTAACACTTCGTAAACTAAAACATAAAACAAATGCTAACAGTAATTAGTGTTTTAACTATAATTATTTCCAACTATATGATAGTAATAAGCTAATTGAGATGTACTGTTAGTTTAATGAACAGGAGCAGTTTATTCATTGGTATCAAAAATGGAAATAGGGTTTACCTATATCAACTTAATTTTGATACATTATATGAATTATACAAGCGTATCATTTAAAGCAAGCTTTTGTGAAAATATTCCCAATGCATTCTTCTTTCTTCCTTCCTCTGATGAAAGTCGATAGTGGTTGTTCGGTCAACAAGACAGCATCATAGTTGCTGTGGAAATGTCAGGATCACTGATTCATTGGGACAGACAGCAAATGCATCGTCATCTGTGGAGTTAGTATAGCTGTTGTTGAATTATTGATGTGTCACTCGTTAAACATTGATGGGATGCACTGAATATTGAATATTGTCGTCATTTACACTTTGCATCTTCATGTAACTAATTCTATCTATCCAATTCTGGTATCCTATCTGTCGTTTAGTTCCTTTAATAGATGCCGTCTATTGTTTTATAAGCGACTTAAATTCTGCGAGAGACTGAAATTTACGGTTAGTGTTGTTATCATTGTTTCCTTACAAACGTATTGAAATTTTAGTGCTGAAAAATCGAATCCATCCCTCCTTGCCTCTTTCTTTGTTGAATATAGGAGCATAAAAAAAGATGAAATAAGGGAGGATTGTGAGAAACGACATCGCATAATGCGTAATTATCCAACCTATCATTATCGTCCATTCGTAGTCTTCTTGTCGTATACTTTATTTTATTTCCTATGTATACATAGATATATGTATGTATATTTTTCCAATTATCAATTCCAATTATCAATATATATATATATATATATGGATAAAAATTTAAATAAGCAGGACAAATATAGATTGAAATTATCTTGAACCATTTTTGTTTTCTCTTTCTCTCAAAGTTTTCTTACATGAAGTATTTGTCGTTTGCTGTGACAATGATGAGAGCAAATGTGATAGAGCTGTAACTGCTGGTGTAGTGTTTCTTTCATTTCATTCGATATGTAGCTTCAATGAGTTCCATCTCGTGTCATCATCATCTTAAAACCATTAGCTTTATCGTTTGCTTAGTTATTCATCCATCGTAAAGCTATGAGGTATATATAGCTAATATTCTGAAGGATGGAGTAAACCGATTACCTCATAAACCTTGCACTATCCCTTCATTAATCAATTCATTGGTTAGTTTCATTACATGAAGCAATTTTTCATTTCTTCCTTATTGGTGCCAGGTGATGGCATATAGTTGGTAATCGTTGCTTGCATCATTTGGAAGGTCGATTGAAACGGCAGGTGACATTGATGGCTGGTTTAGGTATGGTTAGTGCGGGGTTTACGAGGTACTCAACTCACGATCTCATGGCATTGAAGACCGTCCGATTTTCGATGCAACCCGTTCATCAAATTGCGCACATTTTTTGCTAAATTGCTTTTGTGATTTGTTATACTGTAAAGCAATTCTTCCTTGTTTTATTTGCCTTCTTCAGCAATCATTACTCTTTGTTAATGCTTAATGCTGGTATATATATATAATGCTATATGTGTAGTAATAGTAGCCATAGTATTTTTGTTATGGTAGTAATAAGCAATAAGAGTATTGGTGTGAGCACAATGTGAATATGAAAAGCAAATAGTAAAAAGTTTTATTTGAACGAATATTAGTAATGAGTAATGAGAAAAGCTATAGTAATATTGATGTTTTATTATTTATTAGAATTAAAAAAAATTTCCATCTTCAGAATTTTTTAGAATTTAGGAATATTATTACGATTCAGTTTCATTTACTATGATAGAATAATCATTCGGTTAATTTAGATTTGGTTACTTTTTTTTTCAATAATTTCTATTAATTTGTTTGGAAATCAAATTGAATCACTCTTTGTTTCCTTAATGACCAGTATTTGTTATAGTTCATGAGAATAGTAGTGGCAATAATATTGAAAATATTATTGCGAAATGATCTTGTTTATTTTCTGGATTTTTAAGGTGAGTCATGACTATGACTATCGCTGGTTTGCATGAATGAGTATCTGCGAATATGTCTTTATGTATGTGTATATGTTTATGTTTTTCGTAATAAAAACATGAAGTCAGGAAGAAATTGATTTAATATGCGAAGTCTATAATGATTTCTGATGTGCAAAAAATAAACACCGATTTCAATGAGGCATACCCCGTACACATTTAAAATTTTATCGCATGAATGAAGAGCCGTTACTTCCAAGGCTGATTAGGAAGGAATTGATTGGATTTATCCGAACCCGATTGTAGTTGAATAGTGAATAAATAGAAGACTTCCAGTAGCAAGTCATGATATTGAAAGAGTTGATGATGTATCTTGCTGATGTCTTTGTTATAAAAGATGGAAGAGAAGACGATTAGAGCAGATGGGATGATTTTAGAGTTTAACTGCAATGCAGGTGATAGTGGAGACAGGAATATTTGATGATTGTAATATGCAAATTATGAAACTGGGAAGGAAAAGGATATGATGTCCTTGATTCAGTGTGTTGTGTCTCATAGAAGGTAACAATCGTGACACATTAATATAATAGACCAGTTGTTTCAGGAAAATGTTTCACACTCTAAACCGTTTAAACTTTAATTTCTAAGATGAAGTTATCAAATCTTTGTCTTACACATCAATCGATGGCTCAAAGATGTACATTGTTAGTTCTTACACAAATAAATTTGGTGCTTTTATTTTTGCAACGAAGTGCATCATCGGTAAGCTAGTTTTGGAAAATGCATGACAATTATATATTGTTGTGTGTGATGTTGCGTTATGTCTATTTTTGGAAAAGTGTTTGAATAAGAATGATTGTCGTTGAAATTCTCTCTATCCCCCTTCTCTTCCCCACCCTGACACCTCATTTCATGTGCAATTCACGTTCAAGCGATTTGATGGCCAGAAATAAACATTTGCTTATTGTCTCGTTCGTACGACATAACTTTTTATCTCCATGGAAGCATATCCGTAGGATGATGATATGTAATTTCTGGACAATTATGATTTCCTTTTTGTTTTTGCAAAATTCATTTCTATATTTAGCTATAATATAGCATTTGGGAGAGGAAGATAAGTTGAGCAAAGAATAAATCGTAGAACTAGAGATGAGACTAGAGATACGAACAATTTACTAATTTATTTTGTGGAAAACCTGGTTTACAATTTTTTTGTAAACTGTTTGCAGTCATCTTTCTTACCTGTCTCTTTTTTGATTATTTTCTTCATAATCGGAATCTTTTCCTTAAAAATGAAAAAGTTACATGACAGAGAACAATAGTTGACATAATATATATATATATATATATTATGAAATAAGTTAAATTTTCTTTTGAACTTTTTAATTTTTTTCATAATACCATTATGAGTCAACTATTGCTCTCTGTCATGTAACTTTTTCAGAACTTTTTGTTTAACTAAACTTTTGCGGATTTTCTATTTGGTTTTATTTCATTTATTGCTTCTTGTCCATTAATTATATATAGCTTCTATTTCAGAGGCATTTTTCTGATGCTTTTGAAGTAAGTATTGCATAACATTAATTCAGCAAGCAATTTACTGATGGCTAAAGGAAAGAAAATAAAGAAAATGGTTAATTTTAAAAGGATATCTTCCATCATTCCTTTTGGTGGCAACTTTTTCTTATTTCCATAATTTCCTCTCCAACGCTCCGCCGTTCGTTGTTTTAAAGTTCAGTCAAATTTTTGATGAAGTATATATATTTATCGTAAAGTTGGAGATAGATATTTTACTTCAATATATTTTATGAGGAATGTTAATATATGTGGTGAGAGAGAAATATGAAAATATTCACCGGTGCATTGAATATGAACTTTAGATTGAATTGATAGATTACAGATTTTTTAATAGGATTAATGATATGGTTGGAATCTGTCAATTTCATAGTTCAAGAGGTTAGGATTGAAAAGACCTTTGTGGAGAGGGGGAGGAAGGGGTGATACGATTGAAAAGACCTTTTTGCAACTTGCTTTTTTTCTTTTTTTCATTTTCTAACTTTCAAATTCTTACAGCACTTAAATATTTCTCGGAGTTTTAGACTTGATATGCTTTTTCTCCTTCGTAATAAAGAATTATTTTGTCTGTTCCATAATTTGAATGACATGTGCGAATTGACTGGCGAACATACGGACGTTTCAGTAGACGACGAATATACTAAAAACATTTTTCTTTCTGATTCTGTTAGTTGAGCCATTGAGTCGTTTGTACTTCTAAAATAAATCAGGCTTATAAATTTGTGTTTATAGCAGTTTTTTTCAGCGATATTATTTCATTGAAATATAAATCGAATATTTGACGTAAACTTCGTATCTAAATGGTTGCAAGTTACGTGTTTCCACATGGTGCCACATCACCGACTACCGAAGCCACACTTATTTTATCTTCTTCTCCATCGTCTGCTGCTGCAATTGAAAAAACTAAGCAGCGTCAACAGGTTAGTGTTCGTAAAACTTGTTGCTATGGTATTATATATACAAGTAAAACCTCCTATTTCATTATTTACCAATAATCATTGAAACAAGCAGTGTTGTTGCTTTCTTCCTATAGGGTCATACTGAAAGTCCATGCTTATTTATGTTTTTGATATGAATATAGTTGTTGTGTTTGTATGCTTATATGAGTAGTGGAACATGATGAAATACTCGTCAATATTTGTATGTGTATGTATAGATGGTGTATGTGTGTATATATGTGTGTATATGTGCTTGTATATATATGGGTAGTGTATGTGTATGTGTATGTGTGTGTGTGTGTGTGTGTGTGTGTGGTCGTACTATTTCGAAATTTTGTTGAGAAGCATGTCTGATGTGAATTTGATGATGAAATACCCCAAGGGTGAGTGTGCGGATGAGTTTATTGCTTTCCGAAAGATGCAAAGTGACTCTGTGCCATTGATATCTTTTCTGTGATGATGTATGTGAGGAAGAGTGAGTGAGACAGGTTTATAATGCAGATAAATATGTGATTGGGGAAGGAGTTGGAAGGGAAAACGTTTTGATTTCTTTTTAACATGATTTATTTATTTCTCTCTGTACGTTCAAATATTCGCAATCGTATTTATGACGATTTTTAGGTTGTTGTTTTCCACATCTTTTTTATGGTGATGGAAATCGGAATCATTAACTAATTCGATCATTGATTATAAGAGTAATCTTATGATCGTCATAAATACGATTCTGAATATACAAATATTATTTTAAACGAAACGGATATTTAACGAATAAATGAATATATATGTGTGCCCTCATTTCATTCGGCTTGGCATGATTTCTTGGTGATGCTTCTTTTCAATTACTACAACATTTCCTGTAATGTATTTTCCATATGTGTTGTTAATTAAAGAAAGACACTCATCTTCTCATCATGTTAACAACCAAAAAGAATATGAATTTTAGTTTGATTACGAAGTAGGTACATTTCCGCTTATCATTTTATATTCAATCGTATTGTTGTTACTCGAATAGCTTTTGTTTCTGCTTAATTGATTCTCATACTATAAAGCATACATGCTTTAGTAGTTTTTCCTTTTGCGTATTTGAATTAAGTGTTGCAATTTGTTGTACTTTATTGAAATAGAATAGTCTTATTTCGTTTTTCTACGTTTTATGTCGTAATACAAGTGGTAGAAATATGGAAGAGAAATTTTTCTCCTACGTTTTAGTGGGAGTACGTTTATTTATTTTTTTTCTGCTGTTACCGTTACTTATCATCATAAAAAATTTTTCGAAAATATTTGGTAATTTTGTGTGTCACATTTACATGTTGACGTTTAGCAGTGAGCTGCTTGAACTTTAGTCGCGATATGTCAAAACAGAGGTAAAAGTGAATTTGTTTTCGTGGAAAAATAGATGTGTAATATTTTCAGGCAGCAATGCTTGATGCATGGTTATCAATGCATGGCGATAATCTTTACCCTTGTCGAGAAGAGAAAGAACGTTTGGCAAAAGACATGTCGATGACTTATATACAGGTTATTTTTTATCTTAAAAAATTACCATTGTTATTGTTGTTTCTCTTAGTTTTAGGCATTGAACAAGGGCGGTAGCTGATTTGATATTTGTAAATATACAAATTTCTTAGATTGGTATCTGACTGCATAATAAGTTATATTATTGAGTTTACAATTGGTATTTGAAAATCTTTTACCTCTTTCTTCCTCTTAAATTGTTTTATCTATACCTTAAATGGTCTTTTTCATTATTCATGATAAGTATTGAAATAGAGAAAGGCTGCAGACTGCAGTAAAAAATGCTGAACAATAGTTTTCAGCTGTTTTATTTTTTGTTGCTTGTTTTATACATATATGAAATGAAAACAATATCTATTATGATTTGGGTTTTTAAACGGATTGCAGATCGTGTTTGTATCCCAAACATCATGAAACAGATGAATAACGTTTCGTAAAATTATACTTTTAAATTGTGATATTTTTCGAATATACGTTTTCTAATGTGATCTTTGATTCTTAAGTATAGTTTTAGTTTGATTTCGAATTTTTTTCCAGCTTGGCTACATTTGAAATATGAATCATTTACTTCTTTCTGTTCTATATAGTAAGTAAATCGAGCAGTTGCACTTTTAGCAATTAAGGGATACCATCATGCATGTTATTATGGGTATTATTACTGCTATAACTAGTGCAACTTATTGATCATTAGGAGATTGAAAACAAAATTTTGATGTAAAGGTTAATTCTGCTTTCTTATGCCGCATCTTTCCCATACATATTGCCATGCTAGGATATCGAAAGGATGCCGAAGGAGTGAAGTGTTTTGTTTACATATGCAGTATGTGAGACAGTTTTTGCTTGATGTTGTAAATGTGTCTATGCCTTTGTTGTCATTTTGCTGCATTACCCCCTTTTTCTCCACCATCCACTCTCTTTCTTCTCATTTGTTCCAATTTCTTATCGAGTTTCAATGGATTTCAATTTGCTTTGCACGTTTTAGTACTTAAGATATGAAATGGACTAGAACCACTGGACATAATGAATTTCTGACTATATATTATCTCATTTATTGATCCATTTATTTCTTTTCGCTTTCTCTTTTATCGCTGTCATTTGGGGAATGTGTCTACATAGTTTGTGAATGAAAATAGAATGTATTTAATTGGTATTTTTTCTTCATTCCGGAGGTTATCTCTGATATGTATAAGCGAACGACACGAATGGGTTGGTATATAAGAGAGAGTTGGATATTTTTGGCTTGGTAAGAAACAATGAATAGCACAGCTTTACATGGCAAAAATGAAGATTGGAGATATAACTAATAGTTGTTAAGGTCAAGTGTAATTGCTGCTTGCCATATCCAGACTATTTGTTGTCCGGGTATGATTCTCTTCCTAAACGATTATCAATGACAATGCTTTATGAAAGGTAAAGAAGGTATTAAGGTGAGAAGAGTATATGAACACATTGGACTGTGAAGCTTTAAATAATGGTTATTGTTAGCTGCTAAAATTGTTGGGATCTTTTTGGAGTATCATATAGCTAATATAATTGGTAGAGAGGATTCAAAATGTTTATTTGATATGTGGATGTAAACTATGATCTATTCTCATTTGGTGATAATATTGAATAAATAGTTGGGTAAATAGTGCTAGTGCTTGATGGGGGGATACGGTGCAGACAGGAAAGAGTTGTTTTCCAATTGAAGAAGAGAAATGATGAAAATAAAGTAGCTATAATGATGAGTTCATGTAAGCATTCATTAGATTACTTCCTTGACTGTAAGACATCAAATATAAACTTTATTCGGTTAATTGAAATTACTTTTAACGGTTCATCTCTTTCGGCATCGAGCTATTTTCGAATTTATCTGACCTCAACTAATATTTGAGATCATCGTTAATTAGTTGGTTGATGACTCCTTAATGGAAAATGTGAATTCTCATGAGATGACCTTGGTCTGAAATAGAGAAAGAAAAAGGGTGTTAAGTGCGCTTGCCGAGCAGATGCAGATTTGTGTCGTTTTTTCTTTAATTAATAATTTCGATAAATTTCCGATCCTATTTTTTAAAAAGGATTTTGTAACCCTTTTTGATTGACCTATTTGTTGCTTGTTGGTTATTTTGTATCGTAGGAAAGACTCACTTCTCCCTTTGAGAATTGTTACATGCTTGGGTTGCAAATGTAACTATTCAGATCTTACATTATATCACTAAGTGGCAGTGAAATTTGTCCTATTTATAGTTGTTTGAAACATTTCCTAAATATCTTTTGGAGGGTAGAACCGAAATGTTTATCGAAATGTTGTCATTTCTTAAGCATTGATTCAATCGAATCTGCTGCATTTTTGCGTTTATTTCTGATGTCTCCTCTGTTCGGGAACAACTTCTCTTACGTGATTTTTTGATTTTTTTGAACTTATGAATTGTCTTAGTACGAAATTTGACTTCAGTGGAATGAGGTTTCCTGTTAGTTTTGTTAAGTAAGAAAATATTGTTAGCATTGCATTCTTCTTTGCTTTCGTTTTTATTTCAACATTTAGGTGAATCGCTGGTTTGCAAATCGACGTCGCAAGCAAACGAAACGTCGGAAGACGGAAGCTGGGTCACCACGATCACTTACGTTATCATCATTATCATCTGCAGCAAGCAGACACGATGCATTGACTAGGTTATTGGAATCAGAGCAGAGCTCAAATTGGCCATCAAAATCACCACCTGGTTAGTATTTAAGGGATTTCTCAGTATTCATTCCTTGACTCCAGAGAAAATTACGATTGAATATTGAACTGTCCAACATTATTCTCAATCTATCATCTACTATCGTATGTGAAAATAGACTTAATCAGTTTATCCAATTTGGTCGCTGATAACTGGGATTCATGTAATTATCGCATCAATATACTGACATTTTCTGGTGGAAAGTAGTGGTCACAGTTTTCATCAGTTTATCGGATTTAATCAGTTTAATAATAATAAGGTACTGCATGTGAGACTGGAGCTTCAGATTTTCATAATCATATAATGCATTTGAAATGTATGAATATGAGTATACAGTACAGTATTTGGATAATATGGAAGTTCATTATCCATTGAATAGTAGATGGGAACTTTGTTTCTGTCTTTACTTGTGATTAATTTCACTGCAAAATATAAATTGAATTTTCGCCATTGCATAAAATACGAAATATATTCAGTTGAAAAAGTACAAATACACAGTCATTGAATGTTGTACGTATTTACCATGATTTATACTTTCTGGGAAGTGCTAGTAGTGCGATTGGACTGTGTGAGATGTTATTTCCTAGTTTTAGCTTTGAAATTTGACAAGAATTTGTGGATAGGGGTTTTTTGAAGAAAGAGGAAAAGGAGGGAAATTGAGAGAAGTCCTAACAATTCCTTTCAAATTTGATATTAGAAACAGATTACGTTACGTTTAGACGGGTCTGATTAAAAGGATACTATTATTATTATCAATAATCATTTTTTAATACTCTTGCTTTTCTTGATAAGTAATTCGCGTGCTCTTTGCATATATATAAATGATAGTTTCTGTCCACCAGAAGTCATATGGGTATCAATTCTTTTGGATATATTCAGAATAGATTCTCAATTATTTCTTGGTACTAATAGAAAGCTATTGCATATCGTCCTCCAATATTTCATCATCACTGCTGTTGAGTTCCCCAAACTTTTCTTACTATTAGGGTCCTGTATATATTGCGACTGCATGACATTTACGTTTATGACCATATTTGCATAACTTTTCAAGAAATTTAAATGCTAATGCCAAAAGTATTCTATTTTCATCGAAGTACAAGTCACTTTATTTGAAATAGGTGGAGGTAAATCGGTTATTAGTCCTTGATAAGCTTTCAATTAGTGCCTTTTTATATTATCGAACTTCCAAATTAAAAATGAAGTATTCGAATACTATATGTATTTGGGTACGATATGATTATGCATTGTTTTTAAAAGTATTATCTATTTCACTTTCAGGACGACAATGTCTCCACCTCCCCGGTTCGTTATAATCTATTCAATTATTATTCTTTTTATTGGTTCATCCCTAAATTACCTGGGCATACGAATATAGGCTTTCTCCTCTTGTCTTTCATATATCATAGCAACTGGAAAAATGAAATCATTTCGGATTTCAAATAGTCTACTAATGCTTCATAACACTCAGAAGTTTAGTATTCACGTAGAACATTTTTTTACTCATCTAAAGTTGTTTATTTTCATGTATACCGCAAGAGTGGAATTTCTATAGAACTTTGAAGCATACTGAAAATGTATTCTTTCTCTGCATTGTCACATCGGCATCTTTGCTATACTCTCTATTGACTTATTCGATCCCACATTACTTTTAAATTAACACCATTCTAGACGATCATGCAGTCATATATAACAGACGAGGAAAAGAATAAAAAGCAAACCTTACATAAATCATAAAAGAATACGATAAAAGTTTGGTGAAATTGTAGTTTCACTTTTCAGACAAATTTCCTGCCTCGCCCAAAATTGCTTTATGCCTACAATGGACAATACATACCTCATTGATGTCTATTGTAGGTAAAAATCAAGCGGAGAACAATGGGACAATTGCATCATTAATAATTAGGGACGATAAGAGGAGAGATGTGAAAGGGTTGAAAATATTCAACGAATGAAATACGGAAATCATAAATGACAAAAATGAGTAACAGTTTGAAGTGTTTGTAGAATAAAAGAAGTTATTGTCAAATAGTTGTAAAAATGTTAACAAAATGTTTGCATTTCTCTCTCGGTTTCCATTTTCGTAATCATTTACAAAATGATTCACTTTTAGCATATACGTCCAAATAGAATTGATGACCTATGAAAAATGTAAGACTAATTTATAAGCTTTACAAAAAGATAGAACAATTATTATCATGAGAAAGTTTCATTTGAACTACTTAAAAAAAGCAGTAGGTAAGATTGTTGTATCATCAAATTGTTATTAATGAATTTTGTTAACGAGAAGAAAGCCATAAATGTAATGCTGCTAATGCCATTATTTTAACGAGTAGCAAACGAATGTTGCTAATATTTCAACTGAACAAATGCTTATCATCTTTAAAAAGCTGTGCAACAACACACAGGATATAAGCAGGCATTTTTTTTTTTTTAACATAGCAAAACGAGTTAAAGATACCTTGTCAATTTCTAGCAAAAGTACGCTTATAGATGAATGAGTTGGATGAAATAAATTGGCTATCATGAATGAGTTGGATGAAATAATTGGCTATCATGATCGTTTTTTTTTGTCGTAACTCTCTAAGCTTTTACTTCATTAGATTTATAAACAAAATAATAAAATATCAGTAAGTTAGAATTATTTAAAGCAAATATAAAAATAATTGATGATATAATGATGCATATGTATATAGGCATATAAATATCAATAATAACAAGGAAACTAGGAATTGTTTTGAAATAAGAAATGTGAATATAGAAAAAATGAAAGGTAAGGTAAAATAGTGAAGGAAAAGGAATGGGTATAGCAATTTTGCTTTGCTCTTTTCCGTATTTTGCAGTTTAAGTAGGAATAGAGTAAAATTTGAGCTGGCAGCAATAGAAAGGAACGGATGGGAAAAAAAATTTGAAGAACTATATGATCACTACGGAGAAGGAAAAAATTGCAATTTTTTGAATTCTTTCGTTTTTTTTTGCGATGATTTAGCAACGATTTTACAAAGTGATGAGAAAAAAAAACTATACTTTCAAAAATTTCTTTCCTCTCTGATTCATTTGCTTTTGGATCAGTTGTATTTGGTTTTAAATACAGCACCTGATCCTTAAGATAGCAGTGTTTGATTTTTTAAAACCACATAAGCATACTTCGTTTTGCAGAATCTCTCGTCTAGTCGGGTCCTATGAATCGATGGATATCGGAATTTTATAAAATTTGATTTTTTTGTTTTCTTTGAAAATTTGAGTGAAATTGTGTGGAAGAAAAACACTTATAGAGTTTGCAGGAAAAATTGATTTCTAAGGAATGTGTTTTCAGGAAGAATTGATGCTTATAAGACATGGATTAGTTTTTAAAATATTAGAAATTCAATAATGATATTAGGTATACGTAGATATTGAACATTAAGTGTATATTATGATTTATTCTTCTTTTAGATGTGGAAAGTTTTTGATTAATATTTCTGAAATAATAAATGCCATAAGTGAATATTTTCTGAATTTGTCAATGGATACAAAAAAGGAATCTATAATTTCGAATTTCTTCCAAATCTCGAAAATTTCTATTTGTGGTATTTTGTAAATTTTTAATGTTCACTTTTAACTTATAATAAGTTAAATACTCTTTTGAAACTCGTAGGTGAGACTAATTTCAATGCATTGCAAAATTTTCTCGATTTCCATCATACTTTGTTTGGGAATAGCTTTTTACAAGTGATCGATGATTAGCTGTATGTTATTTTGTCAAGTAAGCATTGGAATAATGAATAGCTTATAGAGGAAAAGCTTTAGACTGATATGCTAACAACAGGTAGTATTAACTAACAGCTGTCGTTGATGACGGTAGATTATCTCTCTAAAAAGACCAGATGTTCAATTCTTTTTTTTTTTCCTCTCCCTCTTCCCTCCATCTTTCTTGTCAGGTTAAATGAGGATTCTAGGGATTTTAAGATAGAATTTCAAGATCCAGCCACTTCCCTAAGGGATTTTATGTGATGCAGAAGATAGAAGAAATATCTTTGAATTAGCAGCAGTGTTTAAAGTTTCTTCTGGCTAATTATGTAATGTCGACTAGCTTAGTGCTTAAATTCACAAATATACCAATAAGCCTACGGTTGCAAAATACGACGATATTGATTGGAGTATTAAGGATTGCTCATAAAATTCTCGAGAATTCGAAAGAAGTAAAGGTTATATGATTATGAAATAGCAATAATTCGAAAGTCTGAAAATAGCATGATAAGGTTTCATTTACGGCACTTTGTTCGATCTTGAAACAACCCATCACATAGGAGTGGAATTCAGTATGACAGTTTCTCATTTTCTTTCTTTGTCTCTTCCTCTCTTTCCCCTCAATTCTATCGACGATTGAAATTATCAAATGTTTCCTTTAACTTACAACCAGTATGCTTACCTCATCTTTCGTAGAATGATGGAATTTGAAATTTCAACTTTGGTAAAACGTAAAAGGACAATGAAATTGGAGAAAAAGGAAATTAAAGGAGAGTGAGAAAGAATGGAAAGTGGCAGGGTTGAATGAGTGATGAAACAGATTAAGAAGGAGAGGGAAAGGAGAAGCGTTGTTTGGTGGTGTGTTTGGTAGGAAGTGAGGTTATAAGGTTAAAGGTCAATGAACAATTGTAGAATTGAAAGGGTGGGTAATGAGGTTGAAAGGGGGTAGATAGATGGGAGACAGTGAAAGGTCATCAGTGCTTTGTTGAAGGTATGGTGCGTTGATGGAAATGATAGTAATAATGATGGTCGTTACTTGTTCGAAGGTCCTTCCTGTGTTGATGGCTGTGATGATGAAATTTTGATTATAACTTTCAAATTTCATCCAAAAATTTCGTCCCTCGAAATCGTTCGTATATAGCTGTGAGTATGACAGCTTTCTCATTCTCTCACTCCTCATGATTAGTCGTTATTATTTCAAATAAGAAAATCAACGATGCATAATCGGAATCTGATTTTATTATTCCGTGCAGGAGTACTTGGGATATGTGTGTGTTCC